AGCTACTAAGCTTGAAGCGAGATCAGTAAGGTGCTATTTTGTGGGATATCCTAGAGAAACTATGGGATATAAGTTCTACCATCCTGACGACCAGAAAGTCTTTGTCGCCAGAACTGCTATGTTTCTTGAGGAACAATTTGTTCTCAAATGAACTATAAGTAAAACGATGGAAATTAATGAGATTAATGATGAACCACAAACAAGCACACGACATGTTGACAACCCTGTTCCTGAACCCCTAGCTCCACGTAGATCTGAACGGGTTAGTAAGCCACCTAAGAGGTATGGCTTAGACAATGAATTTGCGGAATTGCACCTTCTAGGTGACAATGACACAAATGAGGACCCTAGGGACTACACTGAAGCAATGTCCGACATTGATTCAAAGAGATGGCATGAGGCCATGAAATCCGAGATGGATTCCATGTATCAAAATCAGGTCTGGACTCTTGTAGACCCTCCAGAAGGTATAGTACCTGTTGGAAATAAATGGGTATTCAAGAGGAAGATAGGCGTTGATGGGAACGTGGAGACTTATAAGGCTAGACTAGTAGCCAAAGGTTATAGGCAACGAGAAGGGATTGACTATGAAGAAACTTTCTCTCCTGTAGCCATGATTAAGTCCATTCGGATTTTGCTTGCTATAGCTGCGTACCATGATTATGAAATCTGGCAAATGGACGTGAAGACAGCCTTTCTGAACGGCTACCTAGAGGAAGAGCTTTATATGGCTCAACCCGAAGGTTTCGTGTCCAAGTCTGAAAAGACTAAGGTATGCAAGCTTCAGAGGTCTATTTATGGACTTAAGCAAGCCTCCAGGAGCTGGAACATTCGTTTTGATACTGAAATCAAATCGTTTGGTTTTACTCAAAACGAAGACGACAATTGTGTTTTTCAAAAAGTCGTTGGGGAAGCAGTTGTATTCCTAGTGTTATATGTAGATGACATATTACTATTTCTGGAATGACACTGCAGTACTTTCTTCTGTAAAAGTGTGGTTGTCCAAAACCTTCCACATGAAAGATTTAGGAGATGCATCTTATGTACTTGGGATAAAGCTCTATCGTGATAGATCCAGAAAATTAATTGGATTATCCTAATCTATGTACATTGATAAGGTGCTAAGTAGGTTCCAGATGAAGCAATCTAAGAAAGGTATTCTTCTTGTAGGACATGGAATTCATCTTTCTAAGTCCATGGGACCTAAGACTCCTGAAGAGATACGGCATATGAATATGATTCCTTATGCTTCCGCCATAGGAAGTCTTATGTATGCCATGATATGCACAAGGCCTGATATCGCATATGCTGTGAGCATTACTAGTCGATATCAATCTAACCCAGGATCAGAACACTGGGCAGCTGTCAAGACGGTCCTTAAGTACTTAAGAAGAACTAAGGACATGTTCCTCATTTATGGAGGAGCGACAGAGTTGCGAGTGGAAGGCTATACAGACGCAAATTTCCAATCTGACGTCGATGATAGAAGTTCCAACTCCGGATATGTATTCACTCTGAATGGTGGGGCTGTCAGCTGGAAAAGCAAGAAACAAAGTGTAATTGCCGATTCCACGACAGAGGCTGAATATGTCCCTGCAGCTGAAGCCGGCAAAGAAGCGTTCTGGATGAAAAAGTTCATTACTGAACTTGGAGTGGTTCCAACCATTACATCACCAGTAACTTTGTACTGTGATAATAATGGGGCGATAGCTCAAGCCAAGGAACCCAGGGCACATCAAAAGAACAAGCATTTTGACAGGCGCTTTAATATCATTAGAAGATATGCTGCCGAGGGGAAAATCAACATCCTCAAAGTTGCTTCAGCCGATAACGTAGCAGATCCACTGACAAAGCCAATGTCTCAAATCCAGCTTGACCGTCATATGGAAAAGATGGGTATTAGATACATGGGAAGATGGCTTTGAGTGCAAGTGGGAGATTGTTGGAAGTATGCCCACAAAGCCACTCATTTGATGTAATAGCTTTTTGGAATACTTATTGTGTTAAACTTTTATATGTTTAATAAAGGGCAAAGCTTATTGTTAATCACTATTTATAGTATCTTGTGTTTAAGCAATAAGGGAATCCAAGGAATGTATTTGATCTAAGAGACAAGTGATTTAAGTTAGTTAAATTAACGAGACCTTTCTCTTATGTTCATTCCTAAAACGTTCCTAGCCATAGGATTGCCAATTGGGCATTGACAATCCGCTAAGGTTAGTATGTGTTATGTCGACTCAAGCGTGAGTATGAACTAGTCTCAAGTCATTTGGTGTTGGACACTAAGGCAAACACATAGGTGCTCGAAAGAGTAATCGAGTACACTGAACAACGATCAAACGAGAGTTCGAACATACATGTCATGTGAGAACTCGATAGTTGCAATATGCAAAGTAGTCCTTTGACCTGAGGCATCATTGATGTCTAATGGTTAGGTCCTTGATCTTTATTTATGTCAACGACATTCCATTGGAGTGTCCACGACATTGTTGGGGTCAAGCTATCTAGTCATGTAGGCATATGAATGCACAACAAGGGATCTCTAACCTTCCATGGTGGAAGGAGAATACTCTAAGATATGATTCGAGAGTCTTTGGCCAAAGCATATGAATATGACTAAGGAAGCTTGTTCCAAATCTTATTCAATTGAATCATATAGAGAAGTATCACATTGGATAGTAGACATGAAACAAACTATCACTTAAACAATGTGATTAAGAGTATTGTATTAGAGAAGGACCGTATTGCATTGTAGTTGTAACTGGATAGGTTCTCCAACCACTTCAACTTAACTTGGGTAACCATGACATGCTGCTAGACGTCACCCATGGTTTGTGGAAGCCCTAAATATTAGCAAACACTAATTTTAAGGGAGAATTGAAATGTGGTTTCAATTCACAATCGATCGTTAAGAGTAACATCGCCCACTACCTCGCTAATTGGAACCTAATGGATCGTACACCGAGTAAGGATATAAGTGAAGAAATTATATGAAATGGATAAGCAATTAAATGGTTTAATTGAAGAATGGTCAAGATTAATTAAATAATTAATTAATTATACGAAACGTTCGTATTGGGCGTTTAAGTTAGTTTTGGGCTTCGGGGCACAAAAACGTTTTGGTCCACAAGGCCCATTATGTTTAAGTTGTATGACAACTAAAACAAAATGGGCAATTAAGCCCAATAACAACATATGGCCGGCCATAAGGGTGAGGGGTAGCAAACTTGTATTAATTACAAGTTTGCCACTCACATGAAATGAAGTATAAAATCAACATTATAGCTTTGTTTCACATAAGGGTTTTCTAATTGAATTTGGGTGAAACATATTCTCTCATTTTCTAAATAGAGGCCGGCCACTTAGGGGAGGAACATCTAGCAATCTATTCTTCCCTAAGTCATCTATTTCATCTTCACACTACATCTTTGGTGTGGAGACTTAGAGACACCAAACCTTTGGTGTTTTGGAGAACAAATCCTTAAATCCTCAAAGAAGAAAAGGAGCACTAAAAGGGAGGAAATCACAAGGAAGATCCAAGGAGCAAAGAGGTGACTTGAAGGCTCTCCACTTGGGTGAATCCCTTGTGCAATCAAGGATGAGCTTCAAGGGTAAAGAATCTCTAAATTCTTATTCTCTTTAATATTGTTAAAGAGTCTTATGGTTCACCATATACTAGGCTTTGAAAGTCATGGGTTTTATGAATTGTTTTTTAATGCATGCCTACTTTAAAGTGTTATTAGTATGCATATGTATTCAAATGTTCTTACATGTTCTTAGCTAGGACAAAATTTTTCCTTCAGAACTGCCATTGTTGTTCTTCACAATCTGTACCTTAACATGGTATCAGAGTCTTGCATAATGGATTGGAGACTGTAGCTTTTGTAATTGATTCCACATATTCTATAGGTGTAATAGGGTTGAAATTTAAACACTTTGAAGCTCTAGTGGAATGAGATGTGGAAAACTTTGAGGCACTAGGAATATTAGAGGCTGAAAACTCTAAGGCTTGAGAAGGTATAGGTGGTAGGATAGTGTTTTGTGAATCAACTAGTGAAAGGTGAACTGGTTGGTGCAGTGGTGTTGATGTGGATGCAGAACTGGACAATGTTAATATGGATGCAATTATAGAGGAATAAGGAAAACTTGTCTCATCAAATAAAACATGTGTCGAAACAAAGATTTTGTTTGTAAGAGGATTAAGACAAATATAACCTTTGCATTGACCTGCATACCCCATGAAGTGATATTTTAGGTTGCAACTTACTGGAATTATACTATTTTAAGAGTGGAAAGCAAACACAGCCAAAAACTTTGAGATGAGATATAGAAGGAAGAGTGCCAAATAAATCAGTAAAAGGAGATGACATATGAAGTGTTGGACATGCCATCCTATTAATAAGGTAAACAAAAATGGCACAAGCATGGAACCAAAATGTATGGGGTAAACTGGCAATTTGCAACAATGTATCTCTCTTTATGCAACACACTAGTCTTGGCATTATTGTATTACTTATCTATATAGATGATATCATCCTTACTAGTAGTTCATTCAAATTGATTGATAAGGTTTTAACTCAGGCGTTTGAAATGAAAGACTTGGGGCAATTACAATATTTCTTAAGGTTACAATTAACATATCAGAATGATGGTCCTTTTGTTTCACAGTCAAAGTACGTCAAAGATTTGTTTGAAAAGTTTGATCTGCAAGATTCCAAATCTTGCGCAACACCATGTTTACCATATCACAGGTTATCTAAAACTAAGGGCACTTCTTATCACAGTCCACATTAGTATCGCAGCACTGTGGGAGCTTTGCAATACTTGACCTTTACTCGGCCTGCTATAGATTCTAATGGTTCCGTTTTTCATTACATTTCATCGTTTCTTGTTTTATTTTCTATTCAAAATTTCTTCAGAATTTCCGTCAAATTCTTCGATGCTTTCGCGATCATCCTATAACTTCTAGGTTGATTTTCCGTTCTTGAATTCAGAAATTTTCAGATTTTCATCAAGTTCTTCACCTCGAAAGAAGATGGAATGTCAAGCAATTTTTTGTGATCTTTTTGTATTTCATTTGTTGGGATCTCATTCTTGTACCGCATGGCATTCTCGAAAGTCAATCTCACATCAGCTACAAAATCAAAAGGCGTTAAATAGAGACCCTTGGTGAGATAGGTTTTGACAGTGCCAAGATCCATCAGTTTCTTAATGATGTCGTAGTAATCGTGAAGGCCCAACGCAACTACATCAACTGGTTTGTTAAAGATCCTAGCATATTTCTGCTTCATCAGCTTGGATAATACTTGCCTGCAATTCTTCATCAAATCCCCATTTTCTAAATACAACCTCTTGGAATTGGAATTCGATTCCTTACCATAAGTGACCGACAAGGGCTGTTTCGACCTAGCCATCTTCTTGAGAACGTGAATCTGGTCATCAATTTATGGTGCGTTCTCTTCAATGCCTTCGATATTGTCTGTGAATTTGATATGTGCTCTACTCTCTAGTATGGAAGAAAGTTTAGACTTTTGTGTAGTCCAAGTGTTTGATGAAATGCCCAGCTCAAAATTTTCATGTGAAGGTTAAGTTTTTCAGCTGCTTCTTCTGAATTTCTTACTATGATTCTTTCACTATTATGTAAATCAATTAGTTTGTTGTTGTGGGCATCAAGTCATTCAGTTGATATGTTGAGTATTAAGTGCTTGAAGCCATCTTTCTTGTGAGTCTTTTCTGGGCTCTTGCCCAACATTTGAGTTCAAGATTGGTCATTGCTTCAAGATTAGTGTTTGTGATAGCATGCATTTGATTTGCTAGATTTTTCGAAACCATGAATTGTGCAATTTTTATAGTGCATATTCATTGTCTCTCTACTTCACTGATATTCTGCAAGTTTATTGGGTTTGATTTTTCTACAACTCTTGACATATTTGGAGAAATAGGTGTGAATTCTTGCATTCTAGCATGTACAATTTTGTGGTTGTTCAAATTATGGTTTGTGCCAAAATAAGAGTAATGTCTGAGAAGATTGTTCAAGTGCTTATTGAGGAGTTTGTGCAGTATGTTTTCTTATCACAGCCTATAATGTCGAGTCTAACCAGCTTAGTTGTTAACATATATCTACTGTAAGCCAGTTATACAAAGAAGTTTGAAGAAGTTGTTAACGGTAAATCCCACAAAGAGTAATTCTGTGATGTGAGTAGGTAAATCCCACTGAAAATCCACAAAGGGCGATCCCGTGGTACTATAGTTAAGGGCAATGTCACACTATAGTTTGTTAATTTTCTGTTTTAAAGGTCGAAGACAATGTTAAATGAAGTTGTTGATGGTAAATCCCACAAAGGGTAATCACATAAGAAATTGTTATAATCGGCATAAGGGTCTGTTACAACTTTATAAGAAGGTTGTTCTTTGTGAAGCTCATGTCAGAGGCTGAGGAATATTAGACTTTTGGATATGTACAACATAGTTCTTTTCTAAGATCTTGGTCTATACATTGTAGTAAGGCAGTGAATATATTTGGAGAAAACAAGTATCATATTTGATGTGGACAATCACTTTCACTGGTTACTATACAATATTGGAAGACAATATGCCTTTGGGAAGATTTTATCCCCCAGGTCAAACTTATTGTTGTACTTAGGGAACTTGGTGGTAGAGACAAGTATTTTCTAGTTGAAGCTTTGAAACAGGGCAATGTTACCAAACCAGTGGAGTGATGGTGAGATGGAGTCTGCACAAGCAAAGAATCAAGCCTTGACGAATGTTGGTGTTGTTGTTCCCACTTCATATGAAGCTTTGGAAATTTTTTTCAAGGAAACATTTGAAAAACTGGTTGAAGAAGGCAAGATTACACCAGTCAAGGAATTCAAGCTTCCAAAAATACCTAAAGATCTCAACTTTACGATTATCTCAGCAACTTCCAATCACTCGTCTTTATGTGTAGAATAATCAAGTTGGAAGGTGTTTACAACAGTAAGGTTACTTGATCTATAACTCAAATGGGAATGGTTTTGATATGGAACAAGGTGATATACATGAAGATATTTTGACATGAAATTAATCTAAGGTGGATAAAGAGGGATTACAAGATTGCAGTTGGTTTAAGTCTATTATGTTTTTTTGGGTTTCATAGTAGTAATTGCACATGTTCTTCCAATCTCAAAATGGGTTTCCCCAGTTGAGATTGAGGGGGAGTATTAAGGGTACAAGTCAGCAATACAATTAGAAATACAGTTAGAATGGTACAGAGGTAGAGGAAGATGATAGAGAGAAACAAGAGAGATTCTAGAGAAAGAGTTTAGAGAGAGAAATATGATTTTTATTAACTGAAAGAATAAATGTTACACAATTACACACTTTGTTTTTATACTAGTAAGCCTAACAACTTTAACCAAATACTAATAAACTTGCTAACTATATTTCTAACTATATTGTTGACTTGTACCCTTAATACTCCCCCTCAATCTCAACTAAGGAAACCCAGTTTGAGATTGGAAGAACATCTGCAATCACTACTATGAAACCCAGAAAAACAAAATAGACTTAAACCAACTACAATCTTGCAATCCCTCTTCATCCACCTCAGATTCATTTCATGTTGTAATATCTTCATGTATATCACCTTGTTCCATATCAAAACCATTCCTATCTGAGTTATAGATCAAGTGACCTTATTATTGTAAACACATTCTAACTTGATTATGTTGCACATAAAGGCTAATGACTGGAAGTTGCTAATTGCAGAGTTGAGATCTTCAAGTATTTGTGGAAGCTTGAATTCCTTGACTGGTGCAATCTTGCCTTCTTTAACCAGTTTTTCAAATGTTTCCTTGATAGCAATTTCCAAATCTTCATATTAAGTATACAAGTCAACAATACAGTTAGAAATATAATTAGCTATACAGTTAGTAAGTTTGTTAGTATTTGGTTAGAGTAGTTAGGCTTTCTCTTATAAAAACAGTGTATGTGTAACCTTCATTCAATCAGTTAATACAAATCCTATTTCTCTTTCTAATATCTTGGTGTTCATCCTTCTGTTCATCCTTTCTTCTTAATTTTCCCTTTAATTCCCAAATATTGCAATCTAGTTAACAACACATTGATTGATCCTCCTACAAGATCCAAGAGTGATAACAAATTCTATATGCAATATCTCTTTTATTGCATCTCTAATAGACAAGAATTTCATTGCCATGCTCAGGACAAGTGGAAATGTGAGGTTTTGCAGGGCCAAAAATTCCAGCACTTGAATTCAGAGATCTTGTATTGTACCTCAAGTGGAAATTGTTCCTCCCCTACCACGTCTTCGAAAACTATTGGTAGTATGACCTCCATTAGAATTAGAGGAACTGCCATGATAAGCACCACTAGGAGGACCACCATTATAATTGGAAGACTGTGAAGAGCCACTGGAATATCCTTCTTCTAGCATGAGAGCTTTGCCTTTGCCTTGTTTATCTTGTGCAACCATTGCAATAACAAAAGACTTAGAGGTGGAATTATTCTCAACAGTTGCTTCTTCTGCCAATAACTAGGATCGAAACTCTTTAAGAGTGATAACATTCTCCCTACCCTTTATAATTGTTCTGAAAGTATGATACTCATAAGAGAGCCTTTTCAATGCCAAAATTACAATATCATCATCTTCAAATGTAACACCAACTGCAGAAAAATGATCTCTAACATCTTTAATTCATTGCAGATATGTAGAGACAGAATCTGACCCTTTCTTGATGTTTTGCAACTCAGTTTTTAACTGAAGGATACTGGATTTTGAGGCAGTAAAGAACTTCTCCTTTAGATTAATCCACATATCATAAGAACTTAAACAACCAATAACACACGACATAGCACTCAGAGACAAAGTAGCAATGATAAGCTGCATTAATGCACGATCATGCATTTTCCAAATCTGATAGTCATCAGTCTCAACACCTTCAGTATTAGCATCATCATCTCCTTTTAATTGTTTATTTGGCATTTTCCCTTCTATATCTCATCTCAAAGCTTTTGGATGTGATTGCTTTCCACTCTTAAAACAGTATATTTCCAGTAAGTTGCAACCTAAGACTTCACAGTGTATATTCATAGGGTATGCAGGTCAATATAAAGGTTATCTTTGTCTTAATCCTCTTACAAACAAAATCTTTGTTTCGGGACATATTTTGTTTGATGAGACAAGTTTTCCTTATTCCTCTATAGTTGCATCCAAACTAACATTGTCAAGTTTTGCATCCACATCAACACCACTACACCAACCAGTTCACCCTTCACTAGTTGATTCACAAAACAGTCATACCATCTATACCCTCTCGAGCCTCAGAGTTTTCAACCTCTAATAGTCCTAGTGCCTCAAAGTTTTCCACATCTCATTCCACTAGAGCTTCAAAGTGTTTAAATTCCAACCCTATTACACCTATAGAATCTGTGGAATCAATTACAAAACTACAAAGTCTTCAATCCCTGTTGATCCAGATTTTCAACCTAAAAATATGTCCATTAGCCTTCTTATACCATCAGTAAATTTGCACCCTATGCAAACACGATCCAAGAGTGGTATATAGAAGAAGAAAGTGTTCTTAGCTACAGTTCAAGTTGTTGCAACAGTTTCAGAACCTACAACTTTTAAGTCTACCAATAAAGTGCCTGAATGGATTGCTGCAATGGAAGAAGAAATCACAGCCTTGAAATCACAGCATACTTGGTCTTTAGTTCCATTACCACCTCATAAAAACCTGGTAGGTTGTAAGTGGATGTATAGAGTCAAAACCAATCCTAATGGTTCAGTGGCAAGATACAAAGCTTGCTTAGTTGCTAAAGGGTATAGTCAAGAGGAGGGTATTGATTACAATGAGACCTTTAGTCCTGTAGTGAAACCAACAACAGTTAGGCTGATTTTGGCATTGGCAACTCAGTTTAAATGGTCATTACGGCAAATAGAAGTGAACAATGCATTTTTTTCATGGTGATTTACATGAAGAAGTGTATATGACTCAACCACAAGGCTTTGAAAGTACATAACATCCCTCTCACTATGTTTGCAGGTTGCATAAGTCTCTCTATGGTTTGAAACAAGCTCCCCTAGCTTGGAATGAAAATTTACAAGTTTTTTACCAGGTTTGGGTTTTAAATCTTCCCTTGCAGATCTATCTCTCTTTGTGCAACACACTAGTCTTGGCAATGTTGTATTACTTCTTTATGTGGATGATATCATCCTTACTGGTAATTCATCCAAATTGATTGATAAAGTTGTTAAAGCTTTAACTCAGGAGTTTGAAATGAAAGACTTGGGGCAATTATAGTATTTCTTAGGGTTACAGATAACATATCAGAATGATGGTTTTTTTTGTTTCACAGTCAAAGTACATCAAAGATTTGCTTGAAAAGGTTAATCTGCAAGATTCCAAACCTTGTGCAACACCATGTTTACCATATCACAGGTTGTCTAAAACTGAGGGCACTCCTTATCACAATCCACACCAGTATCGCAACATTGTGGGAGCTTTGCAATACTTGACTTTTACTCGGCCTGATATTGCTTTTTCTGTGAATCAGTGTTGTCAGTTCATGCATAATCCCATAGATACTCATGTTGTGGCTGTTAAGAGGATTTTGCGATATCTTCGTGGCACTATGGACTATGGTCTTCGATTTCAATCAGGACAATTACAATTGCAGGCTTATAGTGATGCAAATTGGGCAGGAGACCCCAATGATCGAAGATCTACTTCTGGTCACATTGTTTATATTGGCTCCAATCCGATATCTTGGGCATCTAAGAAGCAACACACTGTTTCTCGGTCCTCTACAGAGGCTGAATATCAGGTTTTAGCCATTGCAGCTGCTGAGTTAGCATGGATAAGGCAGTTGTTATGTGATCTTTGTGTACCTATTCTAGTTGCTCCAGTTATCTATTGTGACAACATTTATGTGATTGCTTTATCATCTAATCCTGTTTTTCATTCAAGAGTGAAACACATTGAAATATATTACCATTTTGTATGGGAAAAAGTCATCCGAGGTGATCTGCATGTCTCTCATGTGTCATCAAAAGACCAGTTTGCAGATATTTTGACCAAGAGTATTTATGCACCTTTGTTTCAACATCATTGTTTCAATCTTATACTTGGCTCCTCCAAGCATATGATTGAGGGGGGATGTAAAGATATAGAGCCACCAGATGGTGACAAGTGTCAATAGATAAATGAATGAGTTTGTTAAGTCTGTTAGTAGTAGTTTACTTAGTGTGCAAGGAAAATCGTTTATATATATACTTGTATTGTGAGCTGTAATCTTTCATTCAATACAAGAAGATAATTCAGTTGTACTTCTCTCTCTCTCTCTCTCTGTCTCTCTCTCTCTCGATTACATAGAAACCGCCATTGTTGTTCTTCACAATCTGTAGCTTAACAATAATGACTGTTCAACCTCAGCTAATTGCTATGAAACTGTAGAACCACGAACGGCTCCATATTTATGTATTAAAAGGAAGATTCCATGCATGCATGCAGCGGTAAACAACTAAACAAGAGAGAATACATGCAGTTGTTACCGAAAGTGAGGTTATAATTGAGATTAGTGGGTAGGTTGAAGGGGAATTAAATGGAAGAAAATGAAGATCATGGAGTAGATAATGGGTGTAGTTAGCAGACAATGTGAGCCCGTGGGTGGCTGCATGTTGTGTTTCTGTGAGCTGTTCGTGACGCTTCTCACTAATACATACATACATATACATACATACATACATACATATATATATATATACATACATATATATATATATATATATATATATATATATGTAACGTTCGATGTTGGTGGTGCTGTTGGTGTTGTTGGAGGTAGAACACTTGTGAACGAAGTAGCTAGGAGGAGAGAAAGAAAGGGCATATACCATTTAAGGCATATGCACTATATAAATAAGGAAAGGGATCATTTCCATATCCCTTCCTTATAATTCATCAAATCAGGTAATCCGTGTCATTGAATTTTGATCCAACGGCTACAAACCAGGGCTCACTTTAAAGTTATAATAACTTCAGTCGTTTGATCAAATTTCAATGGTACGGATTACCTGATTTGGTGAATTAGAAAGAAAGGGTCCAGAGAGGATCCTTTTTCTATAAATAAAACCCTAAAAGCAATTCATGTGGGGACACTCATGATTGGAACCTAATTAGCGCCCCATATCATGGCTTTAAATATTCAACAGCAATAAGGGATTTGATCGTGTCCCACATTGAACATTTTACAATATGCCAATGGACATGCATGATTGAACCTTGTGTGTATTGTAGACGACTCCTACCCTAATTAAGTTCAATTTGCCACTTTAATTAAACACAATGGCCTTCTGTAGCCTAATTTCGCATGTTTTTTGTGCAAGAAGTTGCATGTGATTTGTGCGTAATTCTTTTGAATGAAATTTTAATGTATGAATTATCAATACTTAATTTTTTGTGAATCATGGCATGTAAAAACACATACAGAACTTTTGTAATATAGAAGAACTTAGTTGTAGGTGGCACATCAAAAGTGTTTCAATTCAAACTGCAAATTGATTCATCTTCTCCAGGTGTCAAATCGCAACATAGCCTATAAGTCAGACTACTAACATAATTTAAATTTTATTATATTTAGCAGCAAACTGCGTTCGGCTAATAAAGTAGTGCGTCAACCTCTTTGTGCTCAAGTTCAAATTCTTTTCCTTATGAATTAGACTAGTGATTATTATCGCCTTCTACACACACACACATGAATATGTATATGTATATGTACACACACAGAGAGAAAATTAGCTCCCTTTGATTGAAACTAGAGGAATAGTCACGAGTTTAAAAAAGCTTGATTGGGAGGATTTGGGACAAGGAGGCTCTTTCCTTTTCTCCTTTTGGAATGCTTAGGTGAGTGCAACGTTTGGAAACCATTTGGACAGGCCAGTGTTCTTTGGGGACAAAGAAACTTTTTAAAATTTAAAATTTAAAGATCAAGAATATCATTGTTAGAGATTTTATTCGATCAAAAATATTGTACGTTATCTTTGGCGCTAAGTTGGTGGGTCTATTGTATTTGGGCACAGTCGTGAAAGAAGGATCGGTTACGTTTAAGAAAAATGAGTTTATGGTTTGGTGGTATGATTTGGTTGCCCTCTCAATATTCTGACAGAGTCAAGAGAAGCGGGCTTACTTTACAAATATGCACGGGACATAATTTGTGAAAACTGAGCTTATTAATTTGTAAAATATTGGCTCTGCTACAATTATCTAATGAATGTGTCTGTAAATTACAACAAGTTGCAATAGCGAAACAAGCAGTGTGGTTGCGGATAACTCTTTGGATTAGTCTGTCTGTTGTCACAAAGGGTATCACATACATAACGAGATGGTATCTTTCTCAAAAATAAATAAATAAATAAATAACGAGATTGTATCAGGTGGAACCAACATGTAAGGGATCTACTATGGTCTAGTGGTAGGGTTTAGGTTTAAGGTTCGATTTTCAGCAAAAGCGAATTTGAACAACATTATTGCTAGCTCATTGTGAAGCTAGGCCCATCTCCTCCTCCTTAGTGTAGATAATATATTTGTTCAAAAAAAAAAAAAAGGCAATATAAGATTCTTCGCACCCTCTATCGAATATCGGAACTACAAATGAAACTTCCATATGGGCTAAATGTGGGAGCCGAATAGGGCTTGGGTTTGACCTTACATTTGTTTTGAGTAAAAGGCTGTCGTAAAGGCAACATACTCACAAACGAGATGGGACCTGAAGGTGGTGGACACCTTACAGCTCCTCCCAAGTTTGCAAATAGAAGACGTTGCGGCGGAGCTGGCAGACAAGGGTGTTGCCGTGGAAGTTACAGATGCGGCATTGTATTACACTCTAGATGAGAGTTATGGTCGTGTGAGTATCGATTTTTCGGCCAAGTTTTAGTTTAGACATGATTGGTAATTCGTTAGTATACTTGTACATGTGAGACAGAATTAGCACTAGTTTGAGTTGATATTCCAATCTGATTCTACAGTTGATATATAAACAATGAGGTCTGTCTGCAGAGTTTTTGCATCTCTCTCTAACGCGTGCCCGCGCACACAGAGAAACAACCACATTGTTAGAACTGCTGAACAAACACTAGAATTTAGAAGAAAGTATAACCCCAATATGTAAAAGCTTACAAGCTATCAACTCCGACGGTTCACTGCAATGACAACTTTGCTAGGGTCAATGCTAATACCTTGACCCCGTTAGATATATCCTGAATGGATGCATATTCTTCAGGCTTATGGCTGTAACCTGCAAAACCAAATCCAAATGGACGCAATAAGTTAATAGCATTCTCTACTCATTCGATCTAGCATTCTCTACATGTCTAACAACTGATTCATTCTTTTGTTCGACTATGTAAGTGAATGTCATCCAATGTTTCTAATTACGAATATCTTTGTGTTATAGTTGTGCTTTGGCACACGCAAAATGTGTGGCAACTGACATGCTTTTGCAATAAACTAGATTCTCAGTCTGACTCAAATTATTAATTTCAGTACTACTACAGTTATTTAAGATGGTGGTTTCTACAAGAAGAGAAAGGAGACTACCTTTGTAACATGGAATGAATATCATACCCATCGGAGAAACCCTGCAAGGATATGAAAATACATTAGTAGAACCTATTTGTGGTAAAAAGAATAACGGCATGCTGTTCACCATCTGAATTTCCTCAAATTTAGTTGAATTAGCAGCCTAAGTAGCCACTTGGTGGAGTACGAAAAAGCACATACTAAAAGAAATGAAATACGGAGAATGCACTGTCTGAGGATGTATATGAAATACAGCAAATCTCAAATCTTGCTACAGACTTTAGATATACAGGGAATCCTTTCTTATAGGGATAAGTTTTTCTCTCTCTTACCTGGCCATGAACAATGAATCGTGGTAAGCTCGGCTAATCATGAACTTGTGCGTTAAGTTTAGCTCTTTCGACGAAGCTTCCATTGCCTCAATTATTGATTTATCAGAGAGTGCTGGCGGATCCTGATTTATGATTTTGAACTCTGATAGACTGACCCCACGTTTACTTGCTATAGCAATTGCAGATCGATGAATTTTCTCAATTACAATGTTTCTTCGCTCTTCATCAATATCTCTTGTGTCTACAAAATGAAAAGGTATTACATAGTATCAAAAAATAAAACCAAATTTTTCTTCGATATATATTAAAAATCCCAAAGACTGGTATCCATTTGGCTCAATTGATGACCGAGAAAGGATACACGATGGTCTTTTCAAACTTCAGTAAAATTGTATATTGTGCTTGAAATTTAATGACAGAAAGCATACCAATTTCCAGATGCGATTTACTTGGGATGCTGTTAATGGCTCCAGGATGTAGCTCCAGAATACCTTTGTATAAAATGATTATTAATATATACCACAGACATGAAATAAGAACAACAGCCAACACAAGAGACTTAGAACACGTTGAGAAATTTTAAAGAAAGTCAAAGAATTAATCCACAGTCCTGCACATAGGTGTGAAGGAAACACAACTTACCAACTGTACCGACAGTATCAACAGACCCAGATTCCAATACATGTTTCTCAACAGCTAGTGCTAATTCTGCAGCTGCTAGTCCAGCATCATTTCTGGTATAAATAATTAATGGAAACAATTATGAGTCATGTTTACTTGAATATAACTCAACAGCCTTTAACAAAAATACTTTTTTTAGCTGCATGAGTCAGTTTTCAAAAGTTATTAGGAAATATCACACTGACTTTGCGGGTGGGATAAGGGGAAGGGAACAGTTGCGCATAATCCTAGAACTCAACAGAAAAGGTGTTGAAACTCCATTTTACAGTTTGCAAACAACTCACCTATTTGGCATTTGGACAGCACCGGCATGGCCTCCATTGCCTTCAAACTCCACTTTTATACTTGCTGGGGCTGCAATGGCAGTTACAATACCAACTGATATACCTGGATCACAAAACATACTGCTTTAACACATACACTATTATGCATAATGTTGGGAACATGTATGTCGGAATGACCTACCTTCCTCCTCCAAAATGGGGCCTTGCTCAATATGCAATTCCACAAAACCAGAGTAGCTTTCTTTTTTTAAGAACACACTCGATAAATCATCTTCATGTTTAGTGTAGCCAGCAGATCCTGCAGCATCTAAGAAGGATACATTTTGACCATCAACTGTTGTCTTCAGAGCATTGGCCAAGGCCTCAATCCCTGCCATTAAGCGGCTGCACAATATGTATTTTGCTTTTAAACATAGGAAAAAGCTAGAGTGGATTTATTTAAACAACACACATCATTGTTGGACTTCACCCGGAACTCAACAAATTAAGAGATAGAAGTGAATTAAATGTTTTATGTAGAAACTTCACCGAAACATCAGTATAGCTTCTAGTGTGTTAAAGTCTAACCAAGTAGTGATCCTAACCTTCCTAGACAGCTGATTCCAAAACGCGTAGGCTCTTCTGAGGTGAACAAGATAACTTCCAGTGATCTTTTGGGTTTGAAGCCAGACCTGCCAGAGATTCAGTAGCATAACCAGAAGAGTTGTAAATACATTTCACCTCAGGTAAAATAGCAAACTTCCAATTTGGATCTTTCCATTATTAATATTTCCCAAAAGGTTATTTTTTACTCGATATAAATTCTCATTTCCTCAGTATTTTATGTAAGATCGGTGTCTCATCCTTGTCTCCTAGAGCGAAATCAAGTATGCTAAGGCTACAAATTGCCCAACTCAATTAAACGGTTCATACCAAGACTCATCAAAGTTGCATACCTTTTCAGTACATTGATGGCTTCTATAGCACCTAGAACACCCACAACACCATCATACTTTCCGGAGTATGGAATGGCATCAATGTGAGAACCTGTCGCAACTGCAGAAAGATCTGGAATATAGCCTTCCCTACATATAGTAACGCAAGACAAAACCATGGTCAGAGAAACTTAATAAAAGTACGATATAAAGAACAGTGCATCCCAACTAAATAAGGGGCAATAAATATATGCCACAGGGATGAGAGAGAATATAGAAAAGCTCCTATCTACTGGAACCAAAGCAGTCCCAAATCAGGGTTTTCCAAAGTTCAATTGATTCAATTGAAACAATCAAGTTTATAACCTCACAATATTCAAATAACAAAATAGAATACGAATAAGAGTTTGAAGATTAGGACATAGTACACTCACCACCGACCAAATATGTTACCAACAGCATCCTCTCTAACAGATAGACCAGAAAGTCCCATCAAGTTTTTGATGAACCTGCAGTAAATTGTAAATATTACCCAAAAGAAACAATATCAAAGACATAGCAAAGCTCGAATATCATCTCAACACAAATCTCAATACTTGTTTGGGTTGCCATTGTTCTCATTCTGCTAGTCACCATTCTGATAAATATTCGGAAATTGACTTTATCGAAATCCAATTAAGACCTTCTACATTTACTCCATTCCAACAATTAAGCCATCACGTCAATGAGATCAAAAATGGAAGTAGAACATTACTTGTCAATCTATAGATACAACAGCCGTGGTACAGATTACCTAATGTTGAAATTCTACAATCAAGCGAAGTTCAAGCCACCCCACGAAATCCAAAACAGACTCACTGAAATTAAACCTTAGTTGAATTGAGAATTTGACACTGAAAAGGTAACATGCATACCTACGCGCCAATACATCCTTCTCAGTATACAAGACCCTGGTAACTGATGGGGCAGGTGTATCCGAATAAGTCGAAAGTTCATCAATCTACCAATCCAAAAATCCACAAAATTTGCTCAGATATGAACAAATGAACAAACCAAAATCTCACAGTCATATGAGACAATTAAACAAAACCCAATAAGCCAAACTGATAAAGCAGATAAACCCCAATTAGCAACTATCAAATTGATTAAATGAAGTACCTGTTTCTGCAAACTTTGAGTGTCAACTGAGAGTAAAGAAACAGTGTGAGACTGAGAGGTAGAGTGTGATTCGTGAAATGGGTAGCCAGAGAAATCCTCCATTGTTTTGATTGTTGGGTCTTCATTTTCGTGAGCTGAGATTGCAGTGAAGGAGCAGAGGAGGAGGAGGAGCAGAAGAATTACAGAGCGAGGGATATTCAGAGACATGATTTTTCTGGGTTTTTTTACTTTTCTTCAGAATTATAAATTCAGATGGGGTTTTATCGGATGCGTGTATAATCATACCATTCCATATAAAACAATGTTATCCACCATGACCATGGGTGCTTATCTGACACTGGTTTTGTTTATCGTTTTGTGGTACTCTTTTGGTTTTGTTTATCGTTTTGTGTGTGTGACGTGTGGTGGTGTTTAGGGAAAGGATAAAGGAAATTGTAGAAATGGTTTCTCAACTTTAACTTAATTTAAGCAATTATTTCTCAATTAAAAATTCATTAGCATTGGTTACTCAACTTATCAAAACATGCAGTTATAGTCTCTCAACTAAAAATTTATTACCAACAGTCGCTCAACTTTAACCCAATTGGAGAAATTGTCCCTCAACTTCAAACCAATTGTAGTAATGGTCATTCCAACGTAACTCATTTTGACAAAATTTTGACGAAGTTGATGAAAAATATCATAGCTACATGTTTTGATGAATTAAGGGACCAATGGTAATGGATTTTTAGTTGAATAATTATTGCTCTAATTTGATTAAAGTTGAGGAATCATTGTTACAATTTACTCGAAAGGAGATTAATCGCGTTCCAGAAGGATCCTCGCGTGGATCCTTTTTGTAAGAATGCTGAAATCTTCCAATCACATTCGTTCATTGTACATCGTGAGATTAAAAATTATTGTAAATTTTCATAAAGGCTTCCAAGGTATCGGTAGAGAAAATGAGCCTCTTGCTCCTTCCTAACATAGGAAATTAATACAGAGTGATCAAAAGAAGCGGGAAGAGTCGAACCCCCCAAACCCCTAGAATCAAAGTCCTTCTCTCCATCTCTCTTCAATTTCAGAGACTCAGCGTGCAGAGGAAGCTCCACAGCCCACAACAATGGAGGCCCCGACCCCCAAACACACGTGCCTAAAGCTCGAGCTCCAAGATTCCCAGCAACCCATCTTCGTCAAGGGCACGTGGTTCCCCTCCCGCTTCGAACTCTCCATCACCGACGGCCTCAACGCCTGGATCTGCTCCGCCTCCGAAGACCAGGTCAGGGACCGCGCCGCTCAGTGGGACCAGCCGGTCTCCGAGTACTTGGCGCTGGCCGAGCGCTACTTAGGGTTTCAGCACCCTGACTCCGTATACGGGTTCGCCGGCGCCGGCGACGGCTATAAAAGAGTAATTAAAAATTGGAGCTTTTTATTAACTTAATTTCTTGGGGAAATCATGTTAGTTGTAATTAAAGTTGAGTAATCATTCGATTGAGATTGATTGTTTGTGCAGCTTTCATGGACGTTTGAGAAGGAAGGGACGAAGCTCGAATGGCGGTGGAAATGTCAGCCGTCGCCAAACAGTAAGCAAACCACGGCGGCGGTGTTGGATTTTCTCATGGATGCAAATGTTGGGCTAAGTGTAAATTTCCCTCCTTTTTATAAACTTATTTATTTTTTGATACGAAGAAGCAGTGTGTTAGATATTAATAGGAATGATAAGAACTAAAACTAGGTTGGAATCCACGCAATTTTGAAACCCTGTTGGAATTTTTGGAAATTTAATCGAAAGATGAGTTGTGATTTGGATTTTCAAAGTATTTAGTGTTTCTGAAGGAACCTAGATGGGTAATTTCAACCACTATGCACCGGATTTGAATTGTATATATATGTACAGACTGCAGACTGAAGATTTTCTCTCAACGTTGTTGCACAAAAGATTGTGATTTTTTTGTAAACTTGATCTTGCGTTGGGTTTATCGGAGAAGCCAATGTTGCGCTAGAGTTTTTTAGACTTCCAGTCTGCTGCTCTACATTGTCTAGGAAAGAGCTGATTGCATCTGACGTAACTTGCATTAAAGTTGGAATAGTATCTGGCTGATTACTCATATCAATAATGAAAAGTGGTGTATAGTATGTCGGTTTCCTTGTTTTTACAACTATTAATAAGTCACTGCTTGAAGTTTCTTCTTTTTGTACATATCATGCATATTTGAGTCGGTATATTCTGCTGGAGGTGGTTATGAGAGCGAGTTTAACTTGTTTGCTTGTTTCATTCATGCTAGTGTATGTATGTGTGTGTATAGGAAGAAGTTGTGAGAAAAACTCAATCGTTTGAGAGGTTGAAAGTGGAAGCTGAGAAGTGTCTAGCACAGAGTGAGAAGATTACCAGTGAGAAGATAGAATTTGAGTCCGCTATTTATGCAAAGGTGCACCATACCATACCTCTATTAGTTATTCATCGATTTTCTGTGTTCTCAAAATGTTTCTGTATTCTGTAAATGGAGCTTCAAACTTCTCCTGCCATATAATACAGTTGGCATTCTTTGCACTTTAGAGTGCGGTATGTTCAGTAGATAATATACCCGGGGTAAGTTAGTTCTTCATATGAAAAATTCCCTACAATGGTTAGAGTCTAGTATTTGATGTCTTTTCAAAGATTCTTTTGTTTTCAACCAAATTAGCATGATCTGGCCAAATGTGTATCAGAATCGTATTTTGATCATGCGGTCACTTTCAATGCTTCAACTATTTGGATGTGATTGATTTGTTCCCATCTCACTCATTTAATTGAGACTTATGCAGTTTTTTTTCCTGAATCTCTTGACTGACATGTCTTTAACATCTTCTAGTTTCTTGGCGTCTTGAATTCAAAGAAAGCTAAACTAAGAGAGCTCCGAGATAAGCTTTCAAACAAAGAGGTTGCTGGGAAACTGCCAGAAGAAGAGGAAGTAAGTTCAGAACAAACTGAACCTTATGTCAGTGGCGATGACAAAAGCGAGGAAGAATGTTTGAAAAATTATCCAGCTACCTCCAAGGATGTTCCATCGATTAGTTCTCGAGGTAGAGGTCGAAAGAGGGGAACGCACAAGTAGCGTCTCACTCGTCAATTCTAAATTTCAGCATGCTTATGTCAAATATTCTGCGCCCCGGATCTTCCTATAAGTTTGTAACTTCCTATTTAATTTGTATGATATTGCAGAGTTCCTTTTTAATAGTACTGAGATCTTCAGAGGAATACACACTTTTGTACTTCTACCAAGATCTTGTTTCACAGCATTCTTAGCTTCGTACACGGAACACCGCCTAACCACGAACTGTTTCCGCGGGTCTAGTTCGGGTTTTCAGGCCAGTTTTATTTGTTATGCTTCAGTTTTACTTATACTCCAAAACTGAATGCCAGGTTCAAGTTTTGGATTCTTGACGGACTCAAATAATTCCGTCGCCTCCTCTATGTGTCCATTCTTGCAGAGTCCATCCAACATAACGGTATATGTAGACAAAACCAGGGATTGACGGCAAGTTTGCATCTCTTCAAAAGGTTTCTGTGCAGTTGTAACTTTGCCAGCACGGTATAAAGCTCCTATAAGTGTGTTGTAAGAGACCGGACTAGGTTCCAATCCGTTGCAACGCAGTTTCTTAAAGAATTGCACACCCTCATCGGTCTTCTAACTCTTGCGGTAGCCGTGGATTAGCATGTTTGTGGCTAACAACCTTAAGCTCAAAAGCCTTTATACCGTCACAATGATGTTCCGTTCCCACCATATAATGCTATGTAAAGAAAAACTTGCACGTGACGTTGTATGATTGGTACAATCATCACTCTAAACTTAAGGAAAGGAGATTCAAACTAGGTTGCAACATTGGACAAACACATTTTGCCTAATTTGTGAGGCGATATCTACCGTACTGGTATACCGTCACTGTGATGTCTTATGTCAATCATATAATGTTATGTGGAGAAAAACTTATATGTGACATTGTATGATTGACACATTTCGTCACAATGACGGTTAAAAGTTTTCCTAATCCACATCTACAAAGGAGATCTTTTGTTAAGCTTTTCTCTAATCTTTTTTTTCTTTAGCATATTTTTGTTATGCAACTGTCTAGCTTTAACCGTTACTTTCTACTTTCCTATATATTCGTGTAGCACATTATTTGTGTGATTTCACTGCAGATTTTATCTACATTTATTTGATCCATTCTTTGGAATTGGGGATTTGTGAAATCAGAAGAAAACAATGTCTACAGTGAGGGAAGGAAAGAAGAAACCAAAGGCAGCCATGGAGCCTAGAGTTATTTCGTGGGAGGAGAGAAAAAGCCTCGCAGACAAGGATGAAGAGCTTTTGGAGAAACAAATACAAGATCTCAACACATGGGTACTTATATTTCATTCATTTTTTATGGCCTCATTTTTCTTGTATGTGCGTACTATAGATGTTTGACGGGAAATCATAACCACGCACTATTTATTCGCCTTATACATTTTTGTGTTAATTATTTTCATTGTTTTTGTTTGATTTATTCAATATGAACGCCTAGAAAGTGTGTAGAAGAAAAAATTGTGTGCAAGTAATCATTTTTCATGTTTGATTCTCACTTGAGGGATGTGATAAAGCATTTTGGACTATTGATCATGTTGATGCTCGCATGATGAAATCAATGCGGTCAATGGTATTTGAAAGGTGTTATAAAAAAAAACCGTATACCATAACAAGGTAATGTTATTTTCTTTCTCAGAATGTCATTGCACACTCATTTTGTGTGTTTTAAAGCAAAAAAACATTGAGTGTAGAATGACAAATTGAGAGTGTGAATATCTGATGTATTAAAGTTTATGGGATAAACGACGTTGAAACACATAACACATGTATGACGATGATGAGTAATATTTTCATCTCGTTCTTGCAGATGAACATGATAGATTCGATGGAGGAGAAAGAATTAAAAGAGTATTTGAGAAAGAGGTCAGATGAATTGAAGACAATGAAGATCATCCAAAAGACCAATTCTAAACAAAACCAAAGGGGTGAAAAGCCCAAATGCTCAACATCTGATGGGATTATGGCTTCGGTTTGGAAGTTCCACAAGGAAGAAGAGGAAGAAGAATTTTAGGCCATTAAATGCTTATGGAATATTATTTGTTTGAATTGTAATTAGACGATTGGTGGTAAAAATAATTCATGTATTGAAAAATAATTCATGTGTTGGGCTGGCCTTAAGCTAGGCCTCGGGCCAGTTTCAAACAAGGGCTAGGTCTCGGCCCGATTTCAAACAAAGGCTGGGTTTTCTTTTTCTTCCTTGGGGCCTGGAGGTATTTAATGAGGCAGTTTGGTCTCCTCTTCTTTGG